GAACTGACGCAGTGGCACTTAACAACAACAGGTGCTGCTGCCTTTGAAGGTCTTTGATCCAGAGACCCCACACCATGCTGGCAGAAGACGTCTGGAACTTGTATTTAAACTCCTCCTCCGTGGAATGTCCATTCTCCCTCCTCCTGGTGGCTCCCTAAGCTCCTTGCTTCTGTCAAATCTCCTGCTGGAGGGACCATCCCCTGCAGGTGGCTGTCAATAAATGTGGTCTCAATATAGAATTGGTTGTGTAAACCTACCATCTCGTTATTGTTGTTCAATGTTGTCAGTTCTCATGGTGACACTATGAACAACAGATCTGAACCTTCCTTTCTTCCACCATCCTCTCACCATCTCTGCCATATTCAAACCCCCTGTTGCCACCACAGCAACAACTTATCTTGTTGAGGGGCTTCCTCTCTTTCACCGACCCTCCACCTTCCCTGCATGGCGTCCTTCATCTGATATTGGGTTTGAAACATAGGACACACTCAAAACCAGAGCCTCCCTTCATCGGCCCCAATGCAGTGTTCATTATTTATCCCCCTGCTGTACATGGGCTACCACAAGTTGGAAGTGGCCCCAATGCAGTGTTCATTATTTATCCCCCTGCTGTACATGGGCTACCACAAGTTGGAAGTGGCCCCAATGCAGTGTTCATTATTTATCCCCCTGCTGTACATGGGCTACCACAAGTTGGAAGTGAAAGTAAACTTTCATTAAAGTCACAATAAAAACATTTAAAAGAAAAATATCCTATTGTGACAAAAAATTAAAAAACCAACAGAGCTTCACCAAGCACGGGAAACAGAAATTGAAGGAAATGAGAAGAATAGATTTATCCACAAGCATCCCTGGGGACTTCTGCAGACCTGTCTCAGGAATTGATAGAAAAAAAGACAACAGAAAATCAATAGAAACACAGACAACTTCAGCAGTAAGATCAGCTGAAGAGACCTGACTGACATTTACAGAGCATTCAACCGGAAGCCACATATTCAAATAAATGTGGCACGTTGGCCAAAAAGAAGCAGACGTACTGTTTGACCTTCAGTCCCGCCTCAGAAAGTTTAAACGGAGTGAAAAGGATTTCAATCCCACAGCCTGGTGTTTGACAATAAGCAGCAACAGAAATTCACAGCATCAGTCGGAACATCGGCAGGTGAGAACAGAGAGATGCCTGCAACTCCTGTGTGTCTGGGAGTCCAATCAGCTACTTCTGAGTAACCCCCGCAGGAAGGAGGAAATCACACTCAGAACATACTTTGAACAGAACGAAGATTAAAATCTCAGCCCCTGAAAAGCTGTCGGATGCAGCAATGTTTGTAGATCAGTGGATGAATACATTCACAATGAGGACACCGTGACCTTGTCGCTCAAAGTGGACTCAAAGGGGGAGTTCTGAGGGAAACGGTGTCTGCATATGACTTGGCACAGTGAGCTCCACGTGCAGCAGCAACTACGGTCAGTGAGGACAGCAGCGGAGATGGATGGGAAGGGTGGTCAGAGGTCTGCAGATGGAGACGTGGAAGAAGATTCCAGGAAAGAATGGCAATGGTGTCTCCCCAAAATACATGCAGGTAACAGTGTCCTCTGGAAGGTATTTAATGCCCTGACCTAAACAACATGCCTCTAGAAACTCTGTGAACTTTGATAAGTGTCGATAGTTGTAGAGGGGCTTCAGGTCTTTTGTTCATAGTGTTGCTATGAGTCATGTTCAACTCGAAGGCCATCAACAACCACCACCTTCACAACCCTGACCTTAACCCTGTTAATTATATAGTTATCTAATGATCTCCCAGCTCTGGCCTAGGGGTAAGAAGCTGTGCTGCCATCCCAAAGGCAAGCAGCTCAAATCCACAAGTTTCTCTGAGAGAGACAGAGGGACAGTTTCCTCCCAAACGATTTACAGCCTCAGAAAACCCACTGGAGGGTCAGCTCTGAATCAGTTCCAGTTTGACAAAACACAACATTATATGACCTGATACACCAAACGGTTGTAAAAAAATTTAAGTTGAAACACAACACCTTCACCCCATCACAGCTCTGGCCAATGTCAGCCCTCAAACAATGTACAGGGGATTCCCTGGGGTGTGGCCTGTACCACCTTTTCTCTCACGGGAGACTCATCAATAACCTGCATTATGCAGATGACACAACCTTGCTTGCTGAAAGTGATTTGAAGCACTGGTTGCAGAAGATCAAGGAATGCAGCCTTCAGTATGGATGGAAAGGAAGAAAAAAAACATGGAGACCTCAGAAGCTCCAAAAACAAAGACTGGGAGTGGGGCAGGTCCTTTGAACCCTGGTCCCTGTGCTGGGAAATTCCTCAACAACGGAAATGACTAAGACACACAGGGATCATCAAGGAATGTTAGAACCAAAGACCCTGAAGGAGACCAGGCCCTTCCTCCAGAACCCACAGACAGACAGCCTTCCCCTTGCCCTAGAGCTGACACCCTGAATTTGGACTCCCAAGGAAGGGTGACCCAACTGAACGTGGAAATTATTGAACAATATCATTGATATCACATGCTAGCAAAATACTGCTAAAGATCACTCAAAAATGGCTAGAACAGTACATAGATGGGGAACTGCCAGAAGTTCAAGCAGGATTTAGAAGAGGCCATGGCACTAGGGATATCATTGCTGATGTCAGATGAATCCTGGCTGAAAGTAAGGAACACCAGAAGAATGTCTATTTGTGCTTTATTGACGATGCAAAGGCATTTGACTGTGTGGATCATGACAAGTTATAGCTGACATTGAGAAGAATGGGAATCCCAGAGCACTTGATTGTGCCCATGAGAAACTTATAACTGGACCAGGAGGTTGTGCAAGCAGAGTAGTGGAACACTGCATGGTTTGGAATTGAGAAGGGAGTGTGTCAGGGATGTGTTTTGTCTCCACACCTATTCAATCTATATGCCAAGCAAATTATCCAAGAAGCTGGACTCTATGAAGAGGAATGTGGCATCAGGGAGGGAGACTCATCAATAACCTGCGTTATGCAAACGACACAACCTTGCCTGCTGCAAGTGAGGAGGATTTGAAGCACTTGTCGCAGAAGATCAAGGAGTGCAGCCTTCAGTACAGATTGTGTCTCAATATCAAGAAAACAAAGATTCTTATCACTGGACCCCTAGTCCGTGCCATGATGGATGGAGAGGAGATTGAAACTGTCAACAGCTTCATCTTGTTTGGATCCACAATTAAGGAGACTGCCCATCTTCATCCTCTGTAACAACTAGTGGCCTCAAACCACGTGCCTTCAGGATTGCAGCGCAGCTTCTTGCCACTTTAACATGCCAGTCATTCCCCCCAATACAACAAACTGACAGACAGGTGATGAACCTCTAACAGCAAAACCATAAGACAGTAAGGCATTGGAATATGTTGAACAGCCTTCTCCAGCCGCAGCCGACGCCCATGGCAATCCCGTGGACTGCCAGAAAACATAGAGTTATGTCTCGGGAAAAGGGCAGCCAGAATCTCCTTGAAGGCAAGGACGGTGAAGCTTCATTTCACATACTTTGTGCATGGTGCTAGGACAGGCTATTCCTTGGAAAGGGACATCATGCTTGGAAAGGTGGAGGGTCAGAGGAAAACCTCCAACCAGATGGACTGGCACAATGACTGCAGCAATGGGCAGAAACTGTGATAACAGCACAGGATTCGGGAAGGTTCAGATCTGTTACTCACAGGGTCTCTACGGGCCCTACTTGAATCAACAGCACCTAACAACAAGTTCAGAGCAATGAGTCCTAATGGTCTAATGGTTAAAGGCTTGGCTGTTAACTCAAAGGTCAGGAATTCAAATCCACCCAACGGCTCCATGGGAGAAAGACTATGAGATCTGTCCCCATAAAAACTACAGCCTAGAGAACCCAATAGGGAGTTCTGCTGGCCTAATGGGTAAGGATCTGTGCTGCCAAGCCAAAGGCACACAGTTCGAATCCACCAGCTGACCCGCAGGAGAAATATGGGCAATCTCCTCACATGTGATTTTCAGCCTCTGAAAACTCACTGGAGGGTCAGCTGTGAGTCAGTTCCAACTACACAGGACAAAGCAACGTCAGGGAATCTGACGGGACATTTCCATCCAGTCACTGTGAGTCAAGGTCCCCTTAACCGCACCCAAGAACAAGTGCAGGGAACAAGTGGGGACAGTGGGGTCTGGTGGTAGAATTTTCTCCTTCCATACAAGAGCCCTGGGTTTAATTCTCAGCCCATGAACCTGATGCAGAGTGACCATTGTCTGACACGGAGGCTGGCGTGCTGCTCTGATGTCAAGCAGGTTTCAGCAGACCTTCCAGACCAAGAAGGGCTGAGGAAGAAAGGCTTGGCAATCTACTTCCAGAATCAGCCATGGAAAATCCTACAGAGCACACAGTCCAATTCACCATTGATCACAGAGGTGAAGCTTCATGAGGCCACCATGAAAGAGTAGCCGACGAAAACAGGGGCAGAGCTCGGGGCAGGCGTGGATGCCACAGTCCCCCCAGGATCCTGCGTGCCGGCTAAGGATGGGCATCCTCACTGACCCCGGAGATG